TACTTGAGCGCCGTGGCCCGGCTCGGCTTTGGGCATTACCCAAGATTTAACAACAACTCCTGGCCTTTTGTTTGTGTGCGACTCGCTCTCTCCCTCTGTGTGTGTGTGTGTGTGTGAGTGCTTGTTGGTCTGCGGGTTAAACGACGTCGCGCAGGTAGCGCAGGCTCGTAAATAATTAATCTGGCCGCAAAGTGCGATTATCAAAGTGTTGGAAAAATGTTAAATAGCTCCCCGGAGGCGGCGTCACATTAAAATGTGGCGACAGTTGGCTCGCTTGACAAATGCCTCGCCCTCACCCCCACCCCTCGAAGGGGGGCGGGGATAGCCGGAGTCCATTTTGCTTGACTGCCAGAGTTGCCATTTTGATATTTGGCTTGCAGCTTCCGCTGATGTTTTTCAATTATGCAAATAAAGGGATTAATTTGTTGCCGGAGCAATGCTGCCCGGAGGGTAAGAGGGGGAGGGGAGTTGACACTAAAAATTGTTTTTAAGAGTGCGCCAGGCGCTGATAAAAGTTTCGCCCCAAGCCAGACGAAGCGCGACAACTATAAAAATTTCAATTACAAGGCGAAAGGGTGTCAAGAAGCACTAAGACGGCAGGGGGGGACCCCCCCCCCTACATCCTTTAAATTGACTTCATTAAATTTCCAAAAGAATTTAGAGGAAAGCAGCAAAAGACGTGTGAGTGTTTCCACTGCGAGAAAAGTACAACTAACTGAATGAAACTAAATATAGCTGATGTTTTAAATTGTTTTATCGGATTAACTGACGTATTTATTGCCTAAGGAGAAAGTTGAGGCTGTGGAAAATTGGGGAATTGTATTCAACTTCCACTCATATAAATTTTCATTTGAGACATGGTTCCACTGGTTACAAAAAATCCACCTCTATAGGTGGAAACTGGGTCTTAAGCCAGTATTATTGGTCGAGAAATCGATAAGAAATTTAAATATATTAACATAAAAGTTGAGGAAAAACATATTCATTAGAAATATTCCAGAAGACGTGCTTGATGACAGTTTATAATAACTTAACGCTGGGAAGTGGAAACGCCGTAAAAGGGTTGCACGACACCAGACGGAGGATGAGCATTTTTTGGCTGCGCTTCATTTAATTTAATTTGTCTCAAAATTCGAGGCGTCAATTTTTGGTGTGTGTGTGTGGGGTGTGTGTGTGGGTTGTTTTTGACTTTTGTTTTGTTGGCGTCTGTTGGCATTTATTTTATTTGCCGTTTCAATTGTGAGTTGCTGCTGGAAGTGGCTGTCGGGTATTAGGTCTAAATGGGGTATTACAACATTTTAACAACAACAATAACAACAATAACAAGAAGAAGAAGAAGAAGAATAACAATGGCAACTGCTGCCATCATATGATATGAGAGCTGGTGTCTGGTGGCCTGTGATCGTTGGGTTGTCAAGTATAGCAGCAGATGGGGGGCGTTGCACAAATTAAGCCCGAATGAAAATTAAACGATGCATGAAATTACTTTGCTGCTTCTTCGTGTTTCCCTTCTTCTTGTTGACGGTTCAACTTTTTCGTTAGCTTTGGCTATGGCTTTGCCAGTGGCTCCTCCTTTGGTCGTCATGCTTGCGCCGGGAGTTGGCTTTTTTAATTTTTAATGTGCAGTCAGCTGTTGTTGTTGTTGTTGTTGACTTCAAGCATTTTGCTGAGCCATACTCGAGGCGGCGCAGGAGGTGTGGTGGGCAGGATAACAGCAGAAGGACACACGCCATTTACGCAGCCGGCATTGCACTCGAAAGCGGAGCGAGCAAATACGCAACTGAAGAAGGAAAACACAGCCCAGCCAATTTATAAAGTCAAATGTCAGTAACTGCAATTAAGGCGCATTTAGTTGAACGGTGGGCGGTGGGCGTGGTGCAGATGTGGCCAGTTAGCCCTTCAGTTGAAAAGAAACTTGCCAAAGAAAACACAAGTTGCTTTGAACTAAACAGTTGTTAACAGGATGCCGGATAAATGGAACTTCAAATTAAAATAGCATGTCTTTAATTTTACTGCTCCTGCTTAGCAAGAGCTTTGCATATTCAAATGTGCTTAAAAAATTAAATAGCCTAATAGCACAATATATGCACAGCCAATAGCCCGACCGTAATTTATGGAGAGAAATGTATCTAAATGAATGTTTCATATAGATTTGATTATGTCTTGAATTGGGAGCTTATTATTAATTATTTGTGTATTAGTAAGTGTGGCTTTTTGTAACATTATTAGAACGAAAAGTTATAAAGTTGGTTTAATGGGAATTCCTTATCCTTATCCTTATAAAATTATTTAAGATTTTATATTTCACCTATTTTATTATTATTTGTATCTTTATTAACTGGAATATGTATTCCATTTTTTTTTAAATCGGCGATCTATCAACAAGGGGAATTATTTAAATACCAATAAATATCCCAAACATGAAATGAATTCCAATAGAAAATAGTTCGTTCCTTGACACAATTCCCCAACTTATTAGCACATTTTATTGCCCATCTTAAGCCCGTTTTTGCTATGTCGCCTACAACAAAAGCGAATCATGAAATCAAACCAAACGAGCAGCTCGCATAATATAAACGGAAATGAATTTATAATGCACGACTTTCTGTTCTGTTTATCCTTTCTTATATATTTTGCTGTTATTTTTTATGATGCCAGCCATAAATTGTTGGCCAAAAGCACACACACACAGGGAGACACACACACACACACACAAACACATGGCAAGGCAGCAAAATGGCTGCTGACTGGCAAACAACTAACTCATTTTGTGGTTGCCACCTTTTTTGTGGCAATTGTCTGCCTGGCAACTTTGCTTTTTTATAGAAGTCGCGACTGCGATTCCGATTCCGATTCAGATTCCCATTCGCAGTACCTGCATGTGTGTGTGTGTGTGTATGTGTGTTTGGGTATCTGATGAGTTGAGCTTGTGTGCGCATTGTTCAATATTAAACGTGAGCGTGTGTGTGTGTGTGAGGGTCTGGGGCTGGGGCTGGGCGTGTGACAGCTCAATATATTCGCCATTTGTCGCCGTCGCTGGCACCCACAGGAGCAAGGTGTAGTCGTCGCCGGAGCTGCCGCTCTGCGGTTGCCGCATGTTGCAAAACTGTTGCAGACTACAGCGAGCCCTGGCTACAGAGCACGCAGCGTGAAGGAAAAGGGAACGGGAATGAAATGGAGGCAGGCAGGCAGCCTGGGGCCATCGTCATTGGCATCGGCATATATGAAGGCACATGTCGCAACTCCTTCGCATGTTGCTCCTGTTTTTGCTCCTGCTGCTTGTTGTTGTTGTAGAAATGCAGGAAAATCAATTTCGTTCTCCATTTGCAGTTGGCAATTTGCATAATAAGGTCGTTTGGCGCAATTTGCATGTGAATGTGATAAATTCAACGGGTGGCGCTTTGCCGCACGCGGCGTATACGTTACACACACACACAGACACGTAACAAATGTATGTGTGTGTTTGTTTTTTGTGCGCCTTTTCAACTTTCGCTCATTCGCTTTTTCACCTTTGACACACACGCACACACATGCACACGGAGGATTGCAAAATGAAAAGTATCGCGCGGTATATTAAATAAGTAGGTGTGTCCATGTCATGGCAATGCCAACTGCCAACTGGCAAACGGCAACTGCCAACTACCAAAAGGCAACTACCAACTGGCAACTGGCAAGCAATTGGTGCTGACTCTTGGCTTCTGTTTTGTGGTCAACTGCTGCTGCAATTGCCGTGCAATCATAAAACGTGAAACTTCAACGCGCCAAAATGTCGTAAAAGCAAATATGAGAATTTTTGTGTGATTTAAACGCTTTGCCGTTGGTTTTATTATACCATTTTTTTTCGAATTGGTCTGGCTATTTAACGGGGCGGGAAGGCGGAGGCGGGGCGTAGATCTGGCTAGTCTGTTGGCCATGCCGTGTGAATTGTAGACTGCAGTGACGTCCAGTCAACGGGGCCTCTCGTCGCCTGGGCCATTTTTTTGTGCGGTCAGACGATTTGTAATATTTGAGCTTCGAGGAGGAGCTGGACAGGCAGGAGCTGCAGGTGCTACAGGAGTCGTCCAGGCATAATTCATGTGACAGGCGGCAGGCTATTTTTTTCTCTCTTTTTTTTTTGTCCATACCGCCCGACTGCACTTTCTATTTTACATGCAAAATATGGCAAACGGCTGGCAGTATTTTTTTTTCTCCTTTTTTTGTAGCTAGTCCATAACTGGAAACGGTATTTATATGCATGCAGTCAGAAATCGATTCTGTTTTCAGGACTGTGCACCTTTAAAGATCACAAAATACTGTCCCACAAAATTCTGAATATCTTTCGAAATCACAAGAAAATGCTCTCTATAAGAGAGATTGCCATTCATCCAAAGGTAAATTTTTTTTGGTAAATGAGCTATTAAAATGCATAGAATTTTAGAAGAATTTTGATTCTTAAATTTATGCGATTTTCTTGAAAATTGCATGCATAGTTAAACCTTATTCGCAGCCATAACTTGGCTCATATACGTACGAACACATTCGAGTGGCTCGCTTACACGCTCGTAAGCTTTTTAATAAATCCTCATGATTATAGCATTTGAAATGTGCAAATAACTATGGACCCCAGCCTGGCTGCACCCCCCCTCCCCCTCTGTACAACTGGGCTAAAAAAAAAACAAATGTGTGCCACGTTCTGGGAAAGCTAATGCATGCAGCTAACATGGCTGGCAGTAAAAGTTTACGCTTGCCACAAAAAAAAAAAAAACAAAAAAAAATACACCATAAAAGTGAACTTAGTTACCTTAGTGAACAACCCTGCGCTGGGTTGGGGCCCAGATAAATAGAGAAGGGCGACCGAGAGATGGGTTTATGGCCAGACAATGCAGCTGGCAACTGAGAAAAAAAAATATAAAACAATTGAGAGTTTGCAGCTAAAACTAAATGGCTTGCATTAAAAAATTGCTGTTGGTCGTAATGCTCACGTTTCCGTTTTTGTCTCGCTCTCTCTCCACTAATTGCAGATATAACCAGCTCGCTGACAATGACCGAGGTGAAGATACCCAATCACATAATGCGGCTGAAGAGCGCCCTGCTCGGCTGTCGCTATTCCCTGGACGGCGAGTCCCTCTACTCGGTTAAATGGTACAAGGACGGGCACGAGATCTACCGCTATGTGCCGCGCGACAAGCCACCTGGCCAGGCCTTCCCGCTGCCCGGCGTCAACATCGATGTGAGTATCCAATCAGCAACAGGTGCAGCCGAAAATTTAATTTAAAATTTTATTGCAATTTACCGGGCAGTTAAAAGGGGCGTGGTTGCTGCTGGAAATTTAGTGTTACGGCCTTACCATAATGATTATTTTCAAAAGCATGTAATTGCCACAAGAGCGAACGCGCCACGTTCAACATCTTGTTGCACTGCAGTTGCCGCTTGTTGTTGTTGTTTTTATTTTCATGTGCTGATTACGTCGTCGCAAAATGGAATTGCTGCCACGTAGTTTTGCCATTTAACTTTAATTTAATGTTGATGTAATTTTTTGTTAGCCATAAAAATGTTTCTCTCTCTCTCTCTCTCTGACTCTTTCTCGCTGCTTAAGTTGGGTCACGTTGCGGTCTGGCCCTTGGACTCTGTACATTGTACACGTCAGTCAATTTCAATTGCGATTGAAAAGGTTGCACAGCCAAAATCACTTAAAGCTGCCAATCCTCAACTCGAACCCACTTTGAGCTTAGCCGAACTCTAATAATAATAATAATAATTTGCTAAAGCACTTAAGTGCGTCTACTTTGTGTGGCATTTTGTTGACAGCCGCGTCCACGTCCAAGTCCACGTCTGCATCAGCACAAAAATTGCGAAGGCAAAAGCGAGTGGCAAATAAAGCAAAGCCGAGGCAATTGACGTACGGCTAACGTGGCGTATGAGCAACGCAAGCGCGACTTTTATAGCTTGTGCGTGCCCGTCGACAGCTCGTCCTTGCGACGGACCCCCTCCTCCTCCGGCTGACTGTGCGTAAAGTGTAGGCGTGAATGTCTACATTTAGACATGAAAGAGTTGTGCCCATGTACGTGTGTGTGTGTGTGCTGGCCAAGCAAAAATGTAGCAGATATTTATGGTCGTATGCGTGATCGGAACAAAGGCAAGTTACAGCCGCAAGGTGGGGCGCCCCGAGGTGACATAGATTGTGGTCTGCTGTTAAGGATAATTGCTGGCACTTTGTGGCTGTTTAAAATGCATGCAGGCATATATGCACAGCCTTCGACTCTCCAAGGGACAGAGAGAGAGAGAGAGAGAAAGTTGCGCAGTTAATCATTGCAAGACTTTAATACCAATATGATATATCCTTTAATGAAAGTCTCTAAATAATACTTGATTATTTGCCGTCAGATTCAACTGAATGCTTAAACTAAGAACGAGTCTTGATACTTTTCATTTAGCTGCGCGCTACACCTCATTTAATTCGCCTTCCAACAGGTACTTCACATTAGCGCATAAATGTTTCGTAGACATTTCTAGCTATTGAGCGTTTCGCTTAGCTGACAGCTGTTAACTGCCAGAACGGGTTGGGAATCACAATAAATTGTGTGAATTGCATTTTGTTGCAGCCATCATAAACAAAATGGCGCCCGCACGTACCAAGGGACATGCAATAAATGCGCCAAAAGCGCCCCCCCCCCCCCACCACCCTCCGCATGTCCGTCTCTAACACTAAAAGACGACTACAATTTGAATTGTGGCCGGGCTTTTGGGCTGGAGAGGCCTTCCCGTCTTCCCGTCTCTACCGTTTCCTGCTCGACTGTTTGTGCAGCGGGCGCTGACAACTTGAGCGTTCATAGAAATTGGCAAGCCAAGAGTCCCCCTGCCCACTCCCCCGCCCAGTGTGTGCAGGAAGGAATCGGCTTAAGCACTAGAAAGAAACAAACAAAGCCAGTTCGTAGTCATTGTAACGGGGTAATGGAAGTAAGCCGGGGTGCGGGGGGGCTGCGGGCAACAAGCAACAAACCAAAAATAATGTTGAACGTGACTTTTGTGATTGTTTGCAGCAGTGAGAAGCGCGGAGAAGAGCTTGCTGTAACGATGGATAAGTGGGATAGGGGGGAGAGTAAGGAATTTTCATAAAAATTTGCTCGACAAGTTTTTCGGGTAGCGCCGTCAAGGAAAATGGAAAGAAATGAAAACTTTAGCAAGCACTTTCAGCTGCGTGTCCGTGTGTGTGTATCTGTGTGTGTGTGTGTGTGTGTATCTGTAAGTGTGTATCTGTGTGTGTGTGATAATAAAACTGCAACTTAAAGAACTTGACTGCAATTGTTTCTGGCAAAGATGTTGAGCGACTTTTACAACAGCCACTGCTCCATCTCCATCTCCAGCTCCTTCACATCTCCCACAAATGCTTTCCCACTTCCATTCTCATGCGTTCTGCACTGGTTACACAGTTGCGTACGTATTCATGCACTTGGTGTGTGCGGAATGTTACGATTGTTTCCAGATATTTCATTGCTTGCCTTGGCTCTGGCTTATGACTTGTGCTTTTTGTTCTGGAGCTCTCTTTGGGGCTCTTGACCAAATTACATTTTGGCAACGCCCAGTGCCTGTCTGAAAGCTGGTAAACCTTAAACTAATAATATATACACTGAGCGACGGCTTCTAGTTCTTCTGCTTCTTCCGTTTGCCCTACAAATCATCATCAATCTTAATTTTTGAGTCAAAAAAGGAGAAACCCAACCACAAAAAGCAAAATCTGAAATTGAGAAAATCTGTAAATCTAATTGCCTTCATTTTGGGTCTTGGGGCGTGGCAAGTGGGGGCAACCTACTGTCGAGTCACGGCACAGTAATTTATTTGAATTTCGACTTGCAAAATATTTAACAAACATTTTTCGCCATCTCTCTCTCTCCCTACAACAGCTGAGGAACTCCTCGGACACGCAGGTAATGCTGCGACGCGTTACGCTCCAAACTTCCGGCCTGTACCGCTGCGAGGTGTCCGGCGAGGCGCCCGCCTTCAACACCGTCTCCGAGTCGGAGACAATGACCGTTGTGGGTAAGTTTGAGAGTCCAGACTCATATTAATAAAAAAGTGCTCAGTAAAAGTGCAATAAGCCCCTCCAGGAGGGCTGCAGAACAGTTGGATGAATGTGTGAAAAACAACAAAAATTTAATTAAAATGCTAATGGAACATCTCCGACAGTCCACAATGTTGTGAATGAATGACAGTTTTAAGTGGGCTTCCATTTGAGGGCGAGGCAAAAGATGTGCAACAAAATAAAAAAAAGACGAAAGGCGACAAAAAGCTGACAAAAGTCGAAAGGAGCAGCAGCAACAGATTTTATATAGAATTTGTGATTGCAACAGTTGGAAGTGAGAAAATTGTTGAAGGCATTTGCTTGGGCTTAAATTGCAGAAACAGGTGAGAATCTGGTCAAAGCAATATCTTAATTGTTTTTGCCTTAAACCGCACTCTTATCAGGAGGCAGCCACAGGACTTTCACCACAGCTGAGACCTTGCAACTTGTCGCCTCCGAGCATAATGAAATTCATTCTCAGCTGCGGCTGCTGCTGCGAGAATCCTTGTAAGAACGCCCTGAGCTGCCTTGGCCTCAGTCGCAGCCGCAGCCGCAGCCTCCCTCTGCTTTTTAAAGCCTTTTCACTTTTCTGTTTTTGCTGTTGCAGCCCTGGTTCCATTCTGTTCGCTTTTTTACTTAATACAACTGCATAATCTAAGCAAACAATTGAAATGGAATTTGCAGTCGTCCTCGTCGCAGTCGCAGTCGGAATAACAAAAGCCAACGGAGAGCTGCATACATTCAGGCGCACTCGCATGTGAATGCGACTCCCCACTTCGAAGGGTCTGTGCGAGTGTGTGTTCGAGTGTGTGTGTGTGTGCCTTTGTGTGCGTGTGTGTGTAGATAAATGCGCTGCCATGGAATTGCAAGTGTGTGGGCGTGGCTGCTGCAACTGTCATTGCAATTTGAAGTAAAATTATGTTTTCATGTCGTTGCGATTTAGTTGAGTAAAAAAATGGGTTAAGACAAAGCGCCATCTGCCGGCTGGGAGCGAGTACCACCGTTGCCTTTTGTCTTCAGCGTCGCCACAAGAGCCCTCGGAAAACTCGGAAAACTTGGCATTATATTTACATGCATATGCAAAGTGCTTTGGCTTCGAATTTTATTGGAATTTACGCCACGCAGCCACAACTCAATCAGAAACCACAGCAGCCGCCAGGCCACAGCCGATAGCCTGCAGCTAATCACAAATTTATAAACTCATAAAAAATCAAACAGTTATCAATATGTGCAGCAGCCGCACAACCGCAGTCGCAGCGGTAAGCAGCGAATGCCTCGGGGAAGCACCAGCTCATCACCATCACCATCACCGTCACCATCATCATTATCATCATTGGCATTTTGATCATTATCTTTAGCTGGCTGCCCACTTGACGCCCACTTTGAGCACATTTCATGCTGATTTGGCAGCCTTTGGCAATCCCTCGTGCTCTCTAACAACCCCTAAGAACAACGGCTCAGACGCTTCGGAATGTTGCGGAAATGGTTTTGCATATTAAACAATGTCCTCGGCGCTGCCAATTGGGCGACATTCGACTCGATGAACAAAAAAAAAAGAAAAAAACAGAAAAAGGCTGCCAGTCCACAGTCTCCAGTCCCCAGTCCCCAGTGTCCCCAAAGAGCTGTGGGCGGGCATGGCAAATCGAACCGAAAAGGGGCAAAGCTGGCGACTCATCATCAACAACTGCGCCAGCAGCAGCCGCATCCTCATCATTCAGCTCCTCGTCCTTCCCAATTTCCCACTCCCCTTCATCGGCCAGGACATCATCTTGGTTATGGCCGATGCTGCTGCTGCTGCAAGTGAGCCATAAAATATGCTTTAGTGCGTTTACTTCGTGCTTTCCCTGGGCCCGATGCCACAGTGGACACAAACAACAGCACAGTGGAACGACAGCTGGAAATCACGCTCAAAAAAGGATAATCAAATAAACTGTTTGTTTTTAATTTACCAAATTCATCATCAAATTCATAATAAAATTTTTGCTCAAAAATTTTTTTCTTGATTGCCTTTGCCCCACTGTCACAAATAATAGCTCAGTGGAACAACAACTGGAAATCACGCTCAAAAAAAGAAAATCAAATAAACTATTTGCTTTTAATTTACCTAATTTCCTCGCGCTTCTACAAATAGTTCGAAATCAAATTTTTGCTCAAATATTTTTTTCTATTGCCTTTGCCCCACTGTCCTATATAAAGCCTTACTTTTGCCTGCTCCTTGGTCAAAAAAAATGTAAAATATTTAAATAATAATATCCTTTCTGGGGTTTCGCTAGATCTACCCGGGAATGCAGTCCGTATCTAATTGGAATTTTATATCGCAATGTGCTGGCACCTCTTTGACATTTATGCGCCCCTCTAGTAAACCAAGTCTAGAGGGGATTCCCCTTGCTTACCTGCTGCTTCTTACCAATTGAAATTTACATTAAGCGAAGGCTGCCGCTGCTGCGGTCAAAATGTGTCGAGCTGCGCTCTCTCTTTCTCTCTCTCTCTCTTTTGGCTTGGCCTGGCTCTCTGCTGCGGCAGCCATTACTCATACGCCGGGTTGGACGGCTGCTGTGCTGTGCTTCGGAAACGACTTAAGAGCTGGCAACAGTGGAAATCGCGACAGTTGTTGTTGTTTTTCTCTCCATATACAGCCCTCTTGGCAGCTGCTGCTCCCCAAGCGGCCCTCGTCCGTTTTGTTATCTTTGGCTTTACATATGGCAACGATTTTTAATGCACGATATGCTGCGCTGCGTCGTCGAGGGCATGTTTGAGCTGAGAAAACATTACTGTAACCAGTTACTGTTACAGCTACAGTTACAGCTACTGTTATTCCATTCGTCCTCGTCCTCGTCCTTGTCGTATCTGTATCTGGTGCTCCTGACGGCTCCTGAAATAAAAGTAAAGCGCGTTGTTTTATAATTAATGAGCACGCAAGGCGCGAGGCGCTGCATATGTCCTGTTCCTTTCTCTGCACGAGTATGCGTGTGTGTGTGCGTGAATTTATGGTGAAGTGCACTTTAAAGGACAAACATACATATAACTCACTTTGGTGCTTCCTGCTGAGGTTCTTGCCTCGCTCTCTCGCACGTCTCGCATGCACATACTTATAATGTGATCGCTTATCGATTTTACAATATAAAAAGCAATTGCCCGCATAAGGTCCTGCATGTCCATGGACCCCCCCTGTGCTCCTGCAACACCATTTCGTAGGCTAAGAAAAAATAATAAAAAAAATTATTATATGAGATTTTTATGAGCTTTGAGTGGCCACGCAGCAAACTACAAGACATTTATGGCTGCTCCCACCGCGCCCCCTCCAGCCATTAACCCCTTCAGAGATGGCCTTGCTAATGAACTGTAAATTTTAAAAAGGGAAACTCCAAACGCTCAACAGGCACAGCGGGTGACAGCTTAATAATACAGCTGCTGGATATCTGAACAGAGAGATTTACAGGGCTCCATTTCTTTTGGTCTCAAGCAAATATTTAAGCCCTTATTTCCTTGACATCCCTTTACAACCTCATTCTCATTCATGAGTTTCCCAAAACTTATTTCTCTTTATTTGCTACATATAGTTTGATAAGTGGAGTAAGCTCCAAATGCACCCAGAGTCCTGTACAATTAATTTATGGCCACATTAAAACAATATTTAATTTCAATTGCAGCTGAAATAAATAGCCAGAGAGAAACCACATGGATTGGTTGCCTGCTCATAATTCATGGCTGCAAATGTTTATGAACATTTTTGAGAAACACTTAATGGCAAGTCTGAATTTGCGACTCAAGGCCCAAACATGTGCATAATTCACACAAGCACACAGGCTTTGCATATAGATCAAGTGGCTGCTGGCAGCCCAATTCCCAATATACAGCCCCCAAGCCCCTGGCCCCAGCTTATCGCCTGCTCCACAGCAGCTGCAAAGTGCGCTTACCTCCCGTTTCCCCGAAAAAAAGAGAGAAACAAAATAAATAAAATAAGGGAAGAACATACCACAGCATATTAAAAGGCACCCCCAGCTGTGTTGACTAGATGCGCAGCTTGAAAGGCCTCTACCACCCCCCCGCCCCATTTGTTGCCACTTAAAACGCTCCCAAGTAGTAGTTGTTGTTGCTGTTGTTGTTGTATCTGTTGGCTTTGCTGTTGTTTTTGTCGGTGGCATTTGGTCGCCTGCAGGCAGCTCGGCTGCTGCCTTAGACGCTTTTTCACCTTTTCGCTAGGATTTTCGTAGCGTTTTCCATCTTTTTTTTTCTGCCTCATTCCTCGTATTCTTTTTGGCTGCACAAAAGGTAGCAAACGAGCAGCAAAAATGCGATCAAAAAAGGAAAAAAGGAAACCCAAAACTGCTTAGTCATAGGAAAATGCTCGAAATATACTTGAGCCATGTTCCATGTTCGCTCCTTGCCCCCAGCCAGCGCTCGACTTAGTGCAGCTTGCCTTGTCCTGGACACTATGGGGTCCTGCCACACGGTCTGGGCTTTGTCCTCTTCCTGCTGCTGCTTCTGCTCCTGCTCCTTCCACTGGTCCTGGTCCTGGTCCTCGTTCCGTGTGCCAGCCGTCGCCGCAGGTCCAAATATTGTTGTTGGCGTTGCCATTGCGTGCGGAGTTTTTACCAGAATAAATTGCAAACACACCCATATGCGTGTGTGTGTGTGGCGAGTGTGGTGTGTGCGTGGTGTGTGGCATGCTAGGGGGCGCCCTTAGATTTATGCGACAAATAAAACTAAAGTGCGACAATATGGCGTTGGCTTAAAAAATAGCCATATAATATGAAAACAATTATCAGACCGCTGCCCAGAGGTGTGTGAAAAAGGTTTTTGATCTTAACTGCCAGGCAAAGAGTGCGTAACAAATACAAACACTTGTACAAAAATAAAGGAAATCCCCATAAATCTCTATATATAAAACTGTTTGTTCTGACTGACCGACTGAGTGACTGACTTACCGACTGATTAGTGATCAACGCACAGCCCAATCCGTAAGAGGTAGGAAGAGGAAATTTTCACTGTAGTTTCCTTATGTGATGAAGGTACACGAAAAGACATACATACATACATACATACATACATACATACAAACATACATACATACATACATACATACATACATACATACATACATACATACATACATACATACATACATACATACATACATACATACATACATACATACATACATACATACATACATACATACATACATACATACATACATACATACATACATACATACATACATACATACATACATACATACATACATACATACATACATACATACACACATACATACATACATACATACATACATACATACATACATACATACATACATACATACATACATACATACATACATACATACATACATACATACAATTCTTCTTACCCGCTCCACCTCCTCCTGCTCCACCGCCTCCAGCTGCGTTGTTGAATTTCAGCAGGGCCTACTTAAGATTTTGAGAATCGAGGAGGAGAGCCCTTGGTAGAGATTCGTTTTATTTAAATTTGCAGCAAAGCGACAATTAAGCTTGAAAACAAACATGTATGCATACATATGTATATACATAAATGCACACATACATGCATGCATACACTAACACTCACACACACAGGCAAACACACACACACACACACACATATACAATACTTATAGCCTTCGTACTACTTATCTAAACGCAGCTTCTAGCTTCAAAGTCTTTGTAATCCCATTATTCGATCCGATTGATACATATATGGTTTACAGGGTATCTATTAGTCGGATATGGCTCTTTGTGATGCCATCGATGTATATACAGATATATGTTGTAGTTATTTATATAAATCACGTTTAATAGGAATGAGATGATTTTTTGTGTACATTGTAAATAATATAAGCAAAGCGAGAGTTGCCTAAACATTATGATTCTATGCCATGTAGAATATACATATTTGTGTTCCGCAGTAAGAAGACGTCTAAAAATATTTACTCTATTCATAAATTGTTAGTTTATTTTATTAAGCAATTTAGTCTGCTCCGATATGGGCCATATGATAGAATTGCCGTTTCGATATTTACATTAGATAATTGCTTTTTGCTAAAAGGAATTGCTCAAAAATCTGTCTATTCGTTAAATCCAAGTTGCCCATTTACCATAGAAATAATATTTCTTATTCTATTATTGGCATATCGATTGTAGATTTGTTCGTATATCTGTTGTCCATTCAAACCAATTTTCTTTCAATTTAATTTGCACATTTTTTTTTTTTTGTTAAATGCAACTTTTATGGAACTGAAGTCAAACAGAAATGCAATTTACAAGCCAAATGCAATTGCCATCCATTTAATATGTACGCATTTATGCAGCCAACCCGACCTCCCGCTCGGCCCTGCTGCAGTGCTCGGTGCCATTTTCATATATGGCTGGTCATATTTTATAAAGCTTCATATTATCCATATGACAGAGTTGCCGCCCACACAAGAGGCAGCTGCACTAAATTGAAATTCTGGCTAAAATAAAAAAAAAGAGCAACCAAAGCAAAGTAAACTTCACTTTATAAATTACAAATAAGCAACGAGCTCGGGCCCCGCTTTGACCTACAACCGGAGCTGGCCCGACATACGGATTTGTACTATCCTGTACAGAGCCGGGTCTGGACTGGAACCGGGCCTGGAAATAAACCTGAGTCTGGGCCTGCTTCGGATTCGGTTGCTGTGCCTGTCATGCGGCCAGTGGCTGAGCGAGCGAAGCCACAACAAAAACTCCGACAGCTTCTAAGGAAAATTAATTTTTTTTTAAAACCATTAAAAATTAATTTTATTTTATGGAAGAGCAGCCACACACACACAAACACACATATACGCACACACACACACACATATGAAAGGGGCAGCTGCAAATGTTATGAAATTTGTGAGCCTGGCTAAAATGAAACAAGAAATTCTACGCCAGTTTTTATTGCAGAATGGAGTGTGAGTGTGTGTGCGAGCGTGTGTGAGGGAGGAGGAGGAGGTCTCTTTGGTTTTGCCATGGTATATTTATAATGCATACAAACACTCGACTGCGTCTCGGCCGGCTCACAGTGGGCGTTAACTGGACGCCGGGGGGCGCCACACTTGACTTGATTCCTTTCTTTCCATTTTTGTGGATTTTCCTTCTTTTTCTTCTTTTTTTCTTCTTTGTATATGCCCAAAAGCGCTAAGCAATGAGCGAGCGTGTGGCCAAGTGGTTGTGGGCGTTAGTCCTTGCCACAGCCATAGCCATAGCCATAGCCATATCCATAGTCATACTCGTAGCCGTGGCCATAGCCAGATGCCTTAACAACAACACACCAACACGCCCTCACGCCTCCACACACACACGCTAAAATAAACTTTGAATAAGCATTTCGTATGCGTATAAAATGGGCTTCGCTCTGTAGGTCTGTGTGCCGTGTTTTGTATTTTACTGGCACAAATCTCAACATAAATCTTAAGTATGCCCCAGTCCTAGTCCCAGTCCACAGTCGCAGTGCCAGTCCGTAGCTCCGAGCTGCACCAGATACCCCCGACCAGCATCCACATGGCTTTCATTATAGCCACGCGAAGGCAAATAGGCGAAGCTGCATGTTAAGTAATAAAGCAAAAGGCGCTAAAGGAAGCTTGGTAGCTGGCATCTGCTAAAGGACTCGGTATCCTGCTCACAAACTGGCCACCTAGTGCAGGGCAACAAAATATTCAATTTCCCTGGCTCATTAAAATTAAATAAATGCGCACTCTCTCTCCCTTTGTCTCTGTCGCTTACTCTATCTCTTTCTCTAGCCATAGAGACTCTCGAAAGAATCTAACAAATGTGTGCGCTCTCACAATGGGTCAAATAATGCGAGAAAATGTATAACAAATTAATTATTGCGCTTTCCTTACGTATGTCCCACATACCTCCTTATTATTTTTTTAATTGACAAGTACAAAGCAGGTCAGTGCCACGCCCCATTCTCGAAGTAGAAGCCATTATCTGCCCTTGGCACGTTAATTACTCTGCAGTTACTCTCTCGCGCGACACACTGCTGATACAGGAATTTCACTCACGTGAGCGTTAAATATTTGCATTCCTCTTTGCGCGCTATCCTTAAGCGATTTACCGGCAACACTTATTTCCCAATTGTAGTGACTTTAAAAATGAAACAGAGCTTATTTAACAGTTGTTGTTGTTTTTTCCCTCTTGTCATAGACCTCGCCCCACAGTTCATTGACAAAGGGAGCGCACAACATACTTGCGAATGTATGTAATTACAGTTAAAGGCTTTTTGATGTCCTTGCTGATTGCTCTTCGATGTAAGGGGCCACTCACGACCTGCCTTAATTATGCACGAGTGTGTGCGACTCTTTCTCTGCGCTTAATTCAATTATATTACAATCATTTCCATTACCTGACCAGTTGTGAATAAAGTTAAGCAAATTATTTTAAATGCTTTACAGTGACACCGAATCATGGGCCGAAAATATCCGGCGGGCAGCCGCGCTATCAGATCGGGGACACCGTACGCGTCAATTGCACGTCGGCACCGTCGAAGCCCGTCTGTCACCTGAGCTGGCTGATCAACGGGGAACCGGCACAGAAGCAGCATCTCAAGCAGTACGACAAAATCGTGATGGGCCGCGATAGCCTGGAGATGGCTCGACTCGGATTGGAGTTTCGTGTGCGTGGATATCACTTCAAAAACGGCGATATGAAACTCAAGGTAAGTCCAGTCGATTTGCAGCCATAATGCACAACTAATTGGCATTGCTTTTGCTTTCAGTGCGTGGCCAAGATCAGTTCCCTCTACTGGCAGAGCAACGAGGAGAGCGTGGAGAGCGATCGCCAGCAGCGGGCGCCCGCCCTAGAGTCACGTGAAACTGTGGCCGCCAAATCGAGCACGATTGGTAAAACCCTGGGGAATGTCGATTACTCAAGGATTCGAATGACTCATCAATATGTTTGCTTTACAGGTGCTGCTGCCTCGAGGCAACCCTCGCATCTCATCTCGCTTCTGCCAGCCCTGCTGCTGCTCTTCGGCGCCGTCGGATCCTGGAGTTGGCCGCCCGAAGGCGCTGGCAGTTAACTGGCTTCAGTGAATATTTGGAACGCAGCTTAAGGAGATCATCAAAAGCAAACCTTGCCCAATGTTGGGATCTGTCGCCAGATGACATCATATCTGAGAAATTTAAGTGTAAAAGCAAAACATATCCTATGCCAAATTTCATAGAAAAATCTACATACACTAACGAGTACATTGCGCTAATATTAAAAACAAGAATTTCATTTAATTGATGTGTACGGATAACTCCGTAAACCAAATGCAAAATCTTTCAAAATTAAGCAAAAAAAAAAATAAAATTAAAAAAAAATATTTAAAAAAATACTAAAAATTCTTATGTATCGATTAAATACTATTTACATGAGAAAAACTACTCAACTTAAGCATTTAAGTAAAACTTAAAATTTTGTAAATATTAAGCGTAAACTTTAAGCAAGCATGAACCCAAAAAAGAAAGTGAAAAAAAAATGTTAAACTAAAAGAAACTTAAACAAAAATCATAATGAAAATATAATTTTCATTTAGTGTAAAGATTAGTCCATCAGTTGATGTTGAATTGCGGAAAATCAGCAAAAGCTCTGTAAAATATATTTTTTTAATATTCTAAACGAGTTATTATGCACTTGGTAAATTTCTATGATTTCTCAAATGAAACGACTTTTGTCCTATTATATGAATATAATTTAAACTTCCTGTTAGTTATGAGTTGAGATTAAACTGCATTTTGCGCATATCAAATTTCCACATTTCAATTGTATAAAATGCACCTCACTTCGAATTACATATTCAAAATCTTTAAATACATATTATACCTAATAGATTAAGCAAGCACCTAATGCATAGTCAACTACATTAATAAGTTTCGATCTAAGAACTGTAAAGCCAGCCCGTTCAGAGAATCCCATTGAAAAAATCTGCTGTTCAACTGGGGAAAAGCGCAATGGAAACCCAAAAAAAAAACCAAAAGTCTAGCTGTAAATAGCAAATGAAAGAAAATGTTAAGAAACTTGAATAGAAAACATCTTAACAAAAAGAAAACCCAAAATTAGCTGCAAATATAACACCTTTGTGAAATATCTTTAAAGCTGTTCCGAGTGAGGGCTTCTTTCCTATTTTTATTTATTTTACTTTTTGTGTTTCTGTAAATGAGAATAAATTACAATTTATCCATAGAGTAATGAAATAATAAAAATTGGAATGCTAGAAACTCAAGTTTAGTTTAAAATCCTTTACTTCAAAGTAAGCTGAACGTTTTCTCTCTGTATCGGATAATAATCATACTTGTAGCTGGACTGCTGAGAGTCCAAACTTCAGTCAAACCTTGACAGATTTTTAGCTCTTCCATTCGGCTGCAATTCACATAGACAATTAGCAAGTTTTGCAATAAAAATTTATGAAATGACTCAAAGCATGTTACCCTTACCACTGCAATTGAGACTCATACTGATTGTTATGTTCAAAGACCATAAAGCATTTCTTTGATCTTGGTTTAAACTCTGTGCAGAGATAATAATCGTTTGTTTATGCTAATTTAAAGAGCTTGAGTCACAAAGGCAGCACATGTCACACCCACTTCAAGCCTGGCTGCGAAACAATTTGTACCATAAAGAGAAACAGCCCAAATATGGAAATCGCCCCAAGAGCCAACACGAAAGGTGTGCAACAAACCGCAAAATGCATGCAAGCCAAGACAAAGAAACAAACAAGTCCCAATTGGTGCAGGCCATATGACTCATAGGGCTTAAGTTCGGGGCCCACAACTCGACGGACTCCCCTCGTGTTCCAGACCCTGGCTGGCGACTTGACAGCTGCACGGCAGCCTGTTTGTAGTTGTTGCTTCTGGGGTCAAAGCAGCTAATTTGCATACAAAGGCGTTCGATTGAGGCCAAGTGGAACAGCTGCACGCGAATCTACACTCCAGGCCAGGCTTATCATATTTTTGCAATAGCCGTCCAAATAGCCCGGGCGGGCAATGCAGCTTGGCGTTTTGATTGATATTTGATATTTGTTAATGATAAAATGATAAAACTAGCCAAATAAAATGTTCTTGTAAATACGCAACATGTAAACGGATAGATTCCCCTAGACATTAAGAACTGTAAGAACAACTCATTGAACTAGACGAGCGGCTCTTCAAATATTCTCCATTAAATCTAAGCTAAACTTGTGCGTGTTGTAAATTAAACAAATTCACAAAATACAAAACTTAAGAGCAGCCAACAGAAAACAGAAAACAAAAAACAGACAATGCAACGCAATGGAAAATGTAAAACGGAAAAAACTAAATAAAGTCACTTCCTCAATGTGTTTTCTTTTGGGCTCATCAATTTTGTTATGTCCGAAATATTTTGTTAGATCAGTTTCTAAAAGCGACCGCAAAATGTTTAAAATTAGTTTGTAATGTGAGAAACGAATAAAACAAAACAACTTAACAAATTCTTTAAATTAAATCAATGCATTTTCTTCCCACCGGAAATGCCTGCCTCGGTTTCCGCTAGGCACATTCACTTACCATATCCACATTATTTTATTCTCGCTTAACAAATACAGCAAGTATTCATTTTGCCTTAAGCATTTGTATCCTTATTTCATAAAATACCAATATATAAATTGAGGAGCAAAATTGCTGCTCGAAGCATGAGAGGCAAAATAAATTCGCTTAATTTTATATTAAGAGATAATTCATTAATAAGTATATGTATTAAGAATAGCTCACGCATTTTTTTCGAGGACTTTGTTTAAAGAATTCCAAAAGGCAACTATTAAATCTAATAGCTATTGAAAGTAGCTGATACTGCGGATCGAAACACTTATAATTTGCATAGAAAACAATACCCCAAATCTATATACTATTAGAATAGTCAAATAACATTTTATGACAATTCTAATGATTGTACGAATACAAATGTTGTCAGATCATGTTTATATATATACGTGTTTTGAATTTGAAGAATCAGGATAATTAAAGGCACTATAATTTTTAATTTAAAATCGGATACAACTTAGTTGGAGATTAAATCCATTGAGGTATTTGGAAAAAATTGGCAATAATTGCTATCGATCTTGGCTTCAAAGGCTTAAGAGGCATTTTCCTATATAGAATATAGAATATGTTATCGACTAGCATCCTTCCAAATATGTAACATTAATTACAACATGCACGTCCGGCAGGACTAAAACGATCTTGCCTATTCCAATCGCCGCTCACAGCATTTTTTTTACGAAGGGTAGGGAGAATCTCATATAAAAGCGATTAAAATTGCAATGACATATTCGCCTCTGTGCATCGCGCTATTCAATTTTCGTTTAATCATATATTAAAACGTGCCCGCAATTAAAGTGAGCCCAAAACACACACAGTCGGACACACACAAGCCAACAGCATGATTCATCGAAGAGGGGTGAATGATGGCGGCAGGAAACGCGACCAGAGCGCGTATTGGATTTCCGCTGGTTATTCATGGTCAATAAGCGTGGGTGATGCATGCAATGTAGTCATAAAAGCAAAATGCAATGCAAATAAAATAACAACAACTGCAACAACAGAACTTCCTGCTATTGGTGTGGCAATGTGTTTATGTTGCAATTTTGCACGTTTGCCACGAGTGTATCCATCCCCACCCCACCCCCCGCTCCACCTCTCCGCCGGCTCTCCATTATGTTCAGCTGAACTGATTGTGAGCCTCATTGGCTTGGGGTCCAAATTAGTTTTTGCCGTTCACGCTGAAAATTGTGCCTGAAAATGCAGAAAATTGAACAACAAATGTAAATGGAAAAAAAAACGGTTGCCTACTTTTCAGCTGCGCATGGAATAATTTATGAAAATATTTTTGGAGCGCATTATTACGCTTTATCTGTTCGATTGTAATTTAGTTTATCAATTTCATTTAATTTAGCGGCTATAAAGGGGCCATACAGCGGCCGCCAATAGTGCTGACACGCGACAAAAAACACGCTAAAATAAAACCGAAATTAAGACTGCCAAGTAAGCGGCATGTGCGTGCCCTGTTTTTATCAAATATACGCTTATTGCATTTTAATTAATTATAAACAGGTAATTATGTTAAACATACCAAGGCACACACACACAGACACACGCAGGACTTAAATGTATATACATTGCTCGTAACTATCGGGGGGGGGCCTTTAAAAAAATATGCATTACCCACAGACGATTACCAAGTGCTTAAAATTAAAGCGCTGCATTGGCCGAGGGACGGGCTGCAGCTGTGGGCGGCATAAAATGAACTAATTTAAGCCGTGTCCGTCCGTTTAACTGCAGTTTTAAGTGCCGCCCCATAAATGTTCATTGCCTAAATGCTTCCGCCATAAATTTTTGCATAATGCGCCGCATGTGTCAATAATGTGCGGAAAACCATTTCCGAACTTCAATTGAAGGCTGCAGCGGAAAACGCTTTATGGCAGAAACTGCAAAATTTCATTGCCATAAAAAATACTTTAAATATTTTTAGCATTTTTTCCGTACAAAACAGTTGGATAGCTTTCTATCAGCAGCTGTTGTGGCGTATTAAGATACAATCTCGTCCCAATGTGAAGCATGCATAGAATTATTTCTTACATACGTAAAGTCTGTTTGCGATCTTTATATATAAATATTATTATTCATTAGTATACACTCGAAAAGGGTATAATGTTTTTGTGCAAATGTCTGTAACAGGCAGAAGGAACCATCTGAGTATATATAATCTTGATCAGCATCAAGAGCCGAAACGATCTTGCCTTTATGTACAAAAGCGTCGATCTCAGAACCTACAAGAGCTAGAGACTTGAAATTCGGTACGATAACTTGCCCCGGTTCAAAGTAACCGATAGAAATCGATATGGAAATACTCTCAGCGAAATCTAGCGTAAATTGCAAGAATTTCTGTAAACATGTGCTCACTAATTAGAATTGCGATTATATCGCTATGATATGCTCTGTGAATATGCTGCTATTTCAAGAAGATGGTTCAGGGTATCTCCTAGTCGGGCACTTCCGACTAGAGCTCTATTACTTATTTTACAATACATTTATCTTAAGCTCCATTTGCACGAAAATTATCTAAAAATAGGAATTGCGACTTTATTTAAGTTTTGTCTTAAAGTAAAAAGGACTAATCTGAAAAACTTGGTACAAATTCATCAATGAATTTTTTTTCCAGGAAAACATAATTATTATTGAATTCAACTCTTTAAAGCTATTAGTTTCTCTTCAGACTTTAACAAATGGATAGATTTTATGGTATTCCGAACAACATTTATTTAAGAAAAATA